CATCTCTGAGAAGCCTGATTAGGTTCCCTGAGTCTGGCAAGTGCTGCCCCTTGTTAGTCCCGAGTACCAGCTCGTACTATGCCAACCCTGTAGTGTGGACATCATCTCCCCATTTCACAGGTGAGCAAGTTGAGCCCAAGGTTTGCCCAGCTAGTAAGCTGAGTTCCAGGCTTGGTCATCAGCTTGAGTTGTTGATTGTGAGGTTATTGAAGGTTGAGGATGCGGGGCATGCTTTGTTTTCCTAGTTTCTTTTGAGTTTATAATCCATTTGTGCTGTATGTATTACACACAGTTCAGATCTCCCCTCTACCATTTGTCATGGTGGTCCCTTGAGTGGAAGGGTGTAATTGACTTCTGAGTTTCAGTTTTGCTTTTCCTTCTGTGGTTTCTTCTGGAACTGCTGTGGTATTAGTATTGGAAGCAATTAATGCAGTCATTGGCAACAAATAGGAATTGAGCCAGATACCTCAGCCACTGTGTTTTGTCACAGCATCTAAGATGCACAGATGTGGGAGACCTGTGGGCTGGAGTTGGTAGGGAAGCGGTGTGCTAGAGGGTTTGGAGCTGGAGTCTGAGAGGTGACTAGGTTCTCTATGTAGTTTGTGGCTGTGCTTTGTTTTTGTTAAGTTAGATGCTAACATCTAAAACGTGGAGGCTTCTCATGAACACACGCGTTTCTAGCTTTCCCAAATACTGAAGGCTGGCATCCTGTGGCCTGCAGCCCAGCATGGAGGCAGTCAGAGGAGGAACAGCTGCCCCTTGCCCTGCCTGCCTGCTGGCCTCCTGCCTTGCTCTAAGCACTTGAGTTTGAAGCCTCAGCTATGAGAAATCCCGTCAGCCCTTTTTGTTTCCTGTCACTGCTGCGACAAGTCAAACAGCAGATGTACTCCCTCACAGCTCTTGGGGTCTCCAGATCTGGGGTGGACCAGCCGGGCTGTGTTACTTCTGGAGGCTTCTGGGAGGATCCACTTCCTTGGTTTTTAGCTTCTCTGGTGACCTTTGTTTCCTGGCTCACAGCCTCTCCCTCCAGTTTTGTAGAGGTGGGTGGGGTTCCCAGAGCAGAGGAAAAAAGGCCCTTCATTTATTCTGTACATGTTGACTGGGGACCCTTTGTGTGGCACCTGCTCTGTGCACAGGGACAGGCAGGACAAGTCTGATCTTGAGGGACGCTCTGGGGGAGGCGTGAAGGGCCAGTGCAGCATAAGTGCAAAATGTGCCCTGAGAAGAAGCTGCTTCTGTGCAGGGTGTCCAAAGTGACTGGGGCTGGGTTGTGTGGTAGTTTGGTGACTGGGGCTGGGTTGTGTGGTAGTTTGGTGACTGGGGCTGGGTTGTGTGGTACTTTGGTGGCTGGGGCTGGGTTGTGTGGTAGTTTGGTGACTGGGGCTGGGTTGTGTGGTACTTTGGTGACTGGGGCTGGGTTGTGTGGTAGTTTGGTGACTGGGGCTGGGTTGTGTGGTAGTTTGGTGACTGGGGGCTGGGTTGTGTGGTAGTTTGACTGGGGCTGGGTTGTGTGGTACTTTGGTGACTGGGGGCTGGGTTGTGTGGTAGTTTGACTGGGGCTGGGTTGTGTGGTAGTTTGGTGACTGGGGCTGGGTTGTGTGGTAGTTTGGTGACTGGGGGCTGGGTTGTGTGGTAGTTTGGTGACTGGGGGCTGGGTTGTGTGGTAGTTTGACTGGGGCTGGGTTGTGTGGTAGTTTGACTGGGGCTGGGTTGTGTGGTACTTTGGTGACTGGGGGCTGGGTTGTGTGGTACTTTGGTGACTGGGGCTGGGTTGTGTGGTAGTTTGGTGACTGGGGCTGGGTTGTGTGGTAGTTTGGTGACTGGGGCTGGGTTGTGTGGTAGTTTGGTGACTGGGGCTGGGTTGTGTGGTAGTTTGACTGGGGCTGGGTTGTGTGGTACTTTGGTGACTGGGGCTGGGTTGTGTGGTAGTTCAGGCAGTCTCCCCATGGAGATGACATTCAAGAGTAAAGGACTATGGGAAGGCACTTGTTGGAGTGGGTTTGGGGAGCCCAGGGGACAGCAGGGCTTGGTCAGGTGGTAGATAACCTGGGGACTGGGCTACGATTTGCATTTGATCTTAAGCATGACAGGCAGTCATTAGAGAGTTGGAAGAAAAGTGGTAAGAAGATGTGTTGATATTAAAAATGTATGCGTGCTTGAAGTATGGGTTTTGGGGCAATGCTAGGTGGAAATGATGAGGTGTGGGCCTGAGTCCTCTTATGAGAAATGCAGAGAAGTGGGAAATTCTGGAAGAAAAGGCAGCAGTGACGTCTGCTTCTTTGCATCTCCCCTCTGCCTGCTCTGGGAAGAATGTCCCTGGGCTTTGCCAGCTTCGTGAGTCGGGAAGAGCACAGGCCAGGACTCTGCTTGTCTGGCTTCTTTGGTCTTCAGTGTGAGCTAATGCCTCTGCCAGCCCTGCTGGCCGTGTCCTTCCGGCTTGTTGACCACTTAGGTCATGTCTGGTGCCTGCCCCAGGCCTTGTGTGGGTCCCAGGCTAGACATGTTCATCTGCTGGAGAAATCTGTCCCCTGCCTGTCTGGTGGGGGCTGGAGGGAACCTGTAGTCTCCTGCCCACCCCTTCTGCCCCCAGGCTTGCCCACGGAGCAATGGGGCCGCGTGGGAGAGAGACGTGTCTCTGAGAGAGATCTGGAGTCAATAACATTGTCAGGGCAGGAGGGCCACATCCAGGGAGCTGTGTTGCCAGTTGAGCGCATCCTTGCTGACAGGATGTCTTATTTCTGTCAGCCTTGTTGCCATGGTTCCTCACGTGCTTTCTCCGGAAGATGGGTCAGCAGTCTCTTCTGTGTGCAGGCATGGTTCTAGGCTTCTGTTGAGGCTAACCCGTTTTCCCGTCTGTCCTTCCCAGCAGGCATAGGAGAGATGTTGCTTTTACCCTTTCCAGCTCCTCTTTCCCCTTAACATTTTTAAAAATTCATTTGAGACAGGTTTTTTTTTTTAATTAAAATTTTTTTTTTTTTTTTTTTTTTTTTTTTTTAAATCAAGATACCCCAGCTGTCCTTGGACTTGCTCTGTAGTTCAGGCAGGTCTTGAACTTACTATCTTCCTGCCTTGCGCGCGCCCCCCCCCCCCCCCAGCTGATGAAGGCCTGTGCTGCTAGGCCTGGTGCTTCCTTGCCTTTCTTTTAAAAGTCTTTTACCCAGCAGCCACTAGGTTAACAAATAAGGGTTGTGCCATCCATAAAGGGCTGGTGGCCATGTCTTCCTGTCTCTGTAGGCCCAGTGAATTATCTTTGTTTTGTTTGCTGTGTGCTCTTTTGGGTTTGGTGTTGGGTGAACTGCAGAGCTTGGGCCTGGGCTGGGGGCCAGGTGTGGTCTGCAGCTCTTACTTAAGGTATCACGGCAGGTGAGCATCTCCCTGGCGCTCCGTTCCCAGATGATGGTTGTAGCAGCTTTGGTAAGAGGGTAGATGGCCAGGAGTGGAGCATGGGTAATTTCCCCCTTAATTGCACTGACTGTCTCCAAATGCCCTGCCTGGGCTCTGGCCAGAAGCCCCGTTCTCTACCCTGAGTTCCTTCCCTCCCTCTACGGCCATTCGTGTAACTCTGACTGCTTCTCTGCTCACAGTTCCCCTGCCTCAGCCTCTTCAGTGCTGACGATGCAAGAATGTGCTACCGTGCCTAATGCTGTTTACCTTTCGAGTCCTTTGGCATGGGAAAACCAGCTGATCCCGGAAGGAGGCTCAGTTTTGGACACTAGCCGAGCTGGCCTTGGATCTCGGTCCACTCACTAGCAGCCCGACAGAGGGCAAGCTACTCACAGATTTTCTTTTTGAACTTTACTGTATTACTTAATTGTCTTGCTGCAAAAAATATCGGGCAAAAGTAACTTACAAGGCTTGAAGATACACTCTGTCTTGGAAGGAAAGGTTTAGCCACAGGAGCATGGTACATAGATAGATGTAGCTACCTAAGGAGGAGTTCGAGGGTACCCTCCATCATGGCAGGAAACAGGAGCATGAGGTGGCTGGTCACATGGCATCCACAGCTGGACGTCAGAGAGATGAACACTGGTGTTCAGCACATTTTCTCCTTTTTATTCAGTCTGGGACTCCGGCCGATGGGTCAGTCTACCTTAATAAACCTAACCCTGATCCTCCCTCATGCCCGTGAGCAGAAGTTAGTCTGCTGGCTGATGCTAGACCCTATGATGTTGATGTCATTAGCCATCACGCTCAGTTCTCTTGCTTGCTTTTGTTCTTATCCTAGAGTCCTGAGGATGAGAGTGACTTTGTGGTAGAAGGTAACCTGGCAGGGGCTTTAAAGTTGAGGTTCTGTAGCTGACTGCTCAGGTTCAAATCCTGCCTCTGCTATTTACTTTGTGCAAGTTACACGAACACTGTTCTCTGGCAGCCAGGGGGATTCTCAGTGGGAGGGGCCTGGTTTCGCTGGAGCCCCTTGGATTGGAGGAAGTGTTTCCTCTGATTGCCTGACAGAAAGGGAAGGGCCTGTGTGGGAGACTGATGCCACCAGGGAGGAGACACAGACAGGATGTTCAGAAAGAAACCAGTGTCTAATGAGAGACTTGTTAAAACAGAAAAGCAGTTCTACTTTCAGAAAAGTAACAGATACACAGATGTCAGAGGCAAGGGAGAGAGAAAGCTATCGGTGTTTACAAGATCTTACTGAGGAAAACAGTTTTGAGCCATTTCTCTGTACTTGCTCTGTTCCCCAAATCCAGCTAAAGGACATTAACCCTGTAGCCTTTAAGTAGCACTTCACAGTGTGTTCTAACTTGCTGTTGCCTTGCTTTTGAGGCAGGAGCTGGCTGTGTAACCCAGGCTGGCATTGAACTTGAGATGCTTTTGCCCTGTGTTGGATTGTAGGTGTGCTACCATGACTGGCTAGCTTTTAAAGTGACTTTGTACCTGTGCCTTTGGCTCCATGACTGAAGATACCACAAACCCTCCAACCTTTGCAGTACCTATAGGCTTTAGCGCACGCATGACCAGTTGAGGTCCAACTCTCACCTTTTCTCCCCCAGAGTGAGTACATTGCGCCCTGCGACTGTCGGAGGGCTTTTGTCTCTGGATTCGATGGCTCTGCAGGTGAGTCACTGAATTTTCTGTTTTACTTTGTCATTGTTCCCCTCTCAAAATAACTGAACTGTGTTTCAGCCTATGCTATAGAACCAAAGCTAAAATGCAAACTGGACATTCCCCAACTGAGCCTGTGCAGGATGGTGTGGGTTCCAGTTTCCCTGGCTCATCAAAGTCTCCTTTTGGCTCTGTTCTTTTCTGTGTCTTTGCTGTTTCAAACAAAGCAAAACGACCTTCTATGACAAGGAAGAACTTTGAGCTTTGTATTGCTTATGGCATACGCACAGAGTAGTATTGATTAAACTGAACATGGCTGCCTAGCTAGTGCCCTAATCATGAAATGTGAGTTTACTAGCTTCCTGGCTCTGGGAAGTTCTGAGTACTTCACTGTAGGAATCCCTGTTTTCAGTGGAGTTAGACAACAGCGGATGATGTTGAGTTCCCTTGATGTGAGGCCCTGCCTTTCCCAAAGCTGTTTCACCCTTGACTCTTTGGGTGCTTTCCCCTTGAGCAAGCTAGATGAGGCGGGCGCCCCTCTTAGCTTGTGGTTCGCCTCTGCTTCCTTTGGCTTAAGTGCTTGTGTTGGTTGGCACATTTGGGTTGGTTTTGGCTGTCACCTCTGCGGAAAGCTCCAAGACCTGCCAGGTCTGTGGGAACTAAGGATGAACAGAGGTGGGAGGCTTGGGCTTCCCTCTGGTGCCTGCCGAGTCACTGGGTACATAGACGACGGTCTAGGTTGCTGCTTCTGGGGGAGGCGGAGCAGCTCTTTGAGGGTGTCTATTGGAGCTGGAGAACCTTTCTCGTTGGTAGTGAGATTCGGCTGCACGGTCCCCTACTCTAGCTTTAACCCAGGCTGCACATGTGCAGAGAGAGAGAGCATCCTGGTAGTCCAGGCCTCGCGAGTGCCTCCTACAGAGTGTGACCTGCAGCCGCCGTGCATCATTCTCTCACCTGGAGGTTGTCTTGGAGTCTAGGACCCCTCTCCTCTGCCCCAGTGAGAGCAGGGGCCCCTCACCTTCCTGGTTACCCACTGCCGTGTTGTGTAGACTCTCAGGGGTGGTCAGAAACCTTTGTTTTCCCAAACCTCTGCTCTAGGCACAGCCATCATCACCGAAGAACATGCAGCCATGTGGACCGACGGGCGCTACTTCCTGCAAGCCGCCAAGCAGATGGACAACAATTGGACCCTCATGAAGATGGGTGGGTAGAAGCATAAACCAACCTACCTTCTGTAATCGGCCTGGTCTGGGTTGGCATGTAGGATCTTGAGGCACTTCAGGCATCTAGGATCTTGACATTTTTCCTGACATTTTTGGATCCTTTGAAAAGCCAAGGACAACCAAAAAGTAGTATGCCTCTGTATACACAGTGTTGTACACTTACTTTTGGACGATCCCAGGTTCATTTTGCTGCTAGGAAGCTGGCGTTGGGCTCCCCAAGCTTGGGCTGTCAGGTCTGGTAGCGCTGTGGGTTCAGAGCGGAAGGGTGAAGGGTGAACCCCGCCTGCCTGTTAAAGTGGGAGCGACCCAGCCGCACTCCCTCCCTCCCTCCTGCGCTTGCTTACCTGTCCTCAGGTGTGCGACTGTGCAGGGAGCTTCTGGAGGGCTTTTCACTGCCCACGAGTGACCCAGCCCCAAGGTTTGGCAAGCATCTGTCCGCTAGGAAATGTTGTGACTTCATCCTACAGAAGTTATACCAGGAGTTCCAAGAAAAACTTTGTTAGTAAAGTGGCTTATTTAGTGGTTTGTTAAAAAAAAAAAAAAAAGGAAAGAATCAAATAGCAAAATAAAATTTCATGCCAGCCTATAGTTTTTAAGACCTGTGAGTCATGAGTTTTATAAACCTTTGAGCTTCCGTCTGTCAGAAGTCAGCAGAGAGAATCGTCAGAATGCACAAACTTTTACTCTGAATAGATGAGCATGGTGCCAAGATGCCAGTTATTTATCAGAAATTGCATTGGCTTAAAAAAGTGTATCCCAAAGACACTGGCTTGGTAAAAGAAAAACTGACTTATTGAAATAATTCTAGCCCTTTTTGGAGGTTGTTTAGTTCCTTACCATAGTGTTGTAGAAGCGTGAGACTGTCCGCTGTTGTGGCTGGGAGTCCTAGGGCTGCAACAGGCTCCTGTGTTGTTCCTTTTGGAATCCTCAGAAAAAAATTCTTTGTGGCCAAGACTTGGGCTCAGCCCTTTCGTCAGAGGCTGGCTGTGGGCAGGGCAGGGGGCTTTGCTCTGTGATCTTGGCCTTGTAGGTGAAGAGAGGGCACTTAGTAGTTCTGTCCTCCTAGGTTTGAAGGATACACCAACTCAGGAGGACTGGCTGGTGAGTGTGCTTCCGGAAGGATCCAGGGTGGGTGTCGACCCTCTCATCATTCCCACAGGTGAGTGACTTGGTCCCTACCAGCCTTCTAGACTGTATGGTGATATTTTGTTTGAGCTTTAGCAAACAAAGCTTGCCTGAAGATCTCTCTAGTGGCTGGTTCCTTTACTTCTCTGACCATTCAGCATATCTGACTTTGGGTTTTGATTATTCCTGCTACAAGACTTCTTTGCATCCTCCTTGTTTGCTACTTGGATCTTGGGCCTTTGGGGTTCAATATGACTTGACATCACATTCAAGGCTCAGCTGGAAGACACTTCTAGAACAGAGGCAGGGAGGCCATGGCAGTGATGTTCTTCGTTCTGCATGCCTGGCACTGAGGGATGCCTTTCAGAGGGACTGGCCAAGGCTCTGCTGTTTGCCTTAGAAGAAGTAGGTTTTGTTTCATGGCTGGCCCTGTGTTTTTCTTCAGATTACTGGAAGAAGATGGCCAAGGTACTTCGAAGTGCTGGTCACCACCTCGTTCCTGTGAAGGAGAACCTTGTGGACAAAATCTGGACAGACCGGCCAGAGCGCCCCTGCAAGCCCCTCCTCACATTGGGCCTGGATTATACAGGTCAGAGCGATAGCTGCGACCCTGGGCCCTCTGGCTTGCCAAGCCATCTTGTCAAAGGTCATATTAAAGACCCTGTTGTTATGGAGTTGGTAGAGCGCATCGTATGTAGCCTTGTCTCCAGCACAGGCCTTTGACGTGAGCACAGGGTTGTGCCTCACCTGGAGGAGTGGGGCATTTGACGAGCCTGGGGCTGTACTGCCTGCCACGGTCCTTCCTAACCCCTTGCCGCTTACTTTGGCTGAGTCAGTCGGCTTTTGCATCGCTCCTCTGGGCATCTCTGTGGGGACTGGTGGGGAGACCTCAGCTTTTCTATGCTTGCCAACTACCACTCTTCTGGGTGTGGTCCTGGGAGCAGCATCTAGTGATGCTCCATGCTGGCATTTGTAGGGTTGTCTTGCATCATCACTGTCTTGTACCTTATGCTGTAGATGCTTACATGTGATTGTTTCCTTGGCCCATGACGGTGGATGAGATGGATATTCTGTGAACCTTTATAGGAGAGGGTGTGGCTCACCGAAGACACTGAAGGGTAGAGGAAGAAGGCTGGAGGTGGGACTGTAGGGGAGGGAGCCTTACAGTAGAGACAGGGAGGTGGATGGGGGCATCTGGAATTTAGGTCGATCGCCAGAGGGGTCCTGGGAATAAAGTATCACAGCTCAGACGCTGGGCCAAGTTTTAAACAGCATTCCTGGGCTGATTTTCAGAGCAGCCCTTGGTTGTGGGCAGCCCAGGCTCGCTTTCCTGTGTGACACCCTCATCGGGTGTGGTTTACTGGGGAGGGTGGGTACAGTCAGTGGTTCAGGGTCAGCATGGTTGAAACAGCCTCTGACCTATTACTGCAGGAGAAGGGACCCCAGATGTTGCTGCCAAAGTTTCTGTTTTGCAAACAGTTGCATACTTGCTATGGGAAGACACTGCCAGGTAGTAGGTATACCACGTAGGTATGCCCATGCTGTTCATAAATAGCTACTGATGAGCTAAGTTACAGATGGCTACCGTGGTGAGGTGACTTCCTCTGGTGCCGTATTGCACTCTGGGGAGTAGCAGGAAGGCTTTGGCTGTGCCTGACTGTGCAAGTGTGATTTGGAGGGGTTATTCATGGTGTGTCAGGCTGCAGCGGACTCTTGGGTCTTAGCACCAAGTCTCAGGGTCCAAGAAATCCAAGAAATGTAAAGTGGGTTTCACAGGCGAGTTCTCTCTGCCGGAGAGATTCATACGTATTCCTATATCTCAGTCAGTGTACGCAGTCAAACCAGCATTTAAACAGTAGTGCATTTAATTACTGCTGTGACTGTATGCGTTGCCTTGTAGATGCTAAGTCCAAAGAGGGCAGGGCCTGGGTCTGTTCAGAGCCATGACTGCCTTGAGCAGCAGGATCTCTGGTAGATGCCTTTGCCTGGCAAGTCTTGATGCTTCTCAGCCACTGAGGGATAAACATCGTACTGGCATGGCAGTCAGGGCTCACAACAGTCAAGGGACTTTGCAGAGTCATTCCTCTTCTGTGGGGACTGAATCTCAGCTGCCTGCCTTGCAGGTTGCATGTTTGCTGTAAGAGGAGGTGGTGTGGAAGTGTTTGACATTGGCCTTTTCACTTGGCCTCTGGCTTCACGGGATCACAGCTGCAGTCAAGCATATTTGTCTCTTGCAGGCATCTCCTGGAAGGAGAAGGTTGCAGACCTTCGGTTGAAAATGGCCGAGAGGAGCATTGTGTGGTTTGTGGTCACCGCCCTAGATGAGATTGCTTGTGAGTGTTACCTGATCTCTTCCGTGGGCCTCTGGGAATCGGTGTGTTTGTGCCACTCAGCTTCACATTGTCTCCAAACAAGAGAGCAGATGCCAGGTGCACAAAGGAGAAAGCATCACAATGAGCTGGGCAGGGGTCATAGACGTGCCAGAACAGTATACCACCAGGGGCTCACAGTGAGCCCATCTCTTAGGATGGTGGCTTCTCAGAGGAAGAGTATTTCTTCTGAACATTTTCCCTGTTGTTCTTTACACTTATGTAGTTTTCTAATATATTCACAGAAAGAACCTTCTAGTACAGTTTTTAACTCAGGAAACTCAAGAACTGAAAATTCTTCTCAAGGCCCTTTTCCTTAATCTTCAGGGCTTCCGCTCCTCCTGTCCCTCTGTAACCATTCAAAGCCTCTCATCTCCAGATTCTGAAGGGATCTGACTGAAGTGCTCCCTCCTGTGTTAATCCGACTGGATTTGATTCAGGGAAGTTTGAAACAGGCCGCTGTGTCGTGTCTCCCCACCTGAGGAAGAAAGCCCACTACATAACTCCCGGCCTCGTCAGTCAGTATCTCAGACTTTGTCAGATGTCAGTGATTGCTGTTGCTAATTAGGCCAGGATCAGAGGAAACACAACACAACACAACACACACACACACACACACACTCTCTCTCTCTCTCTCTCTTTCTCTCTCTCTCTCTCTCTCTCTCTCTCTTTCACCCTAGACTTTAAGAAAAACACATTCCTTCCTATTATGGAACCCTGAAAAGTGCAGAGGAAGTAGGAGAAAACCAAAATCACTCATAATCCTGTTACCTACGACAACCATTGTTGACATTTCTGTGTGTCCGTCATACAGCCTGGTGTTCTAAACGTGTCAATATGCTAGGAGCAAATAAATTGTAATTTTAAGTGTTAAAAATTTCACCAAATGGTTATATGACAATCTGCCTAACAGTTTCCATATAAAGGGCCTTTGGGCTATTTCCAGTTTCTCTGTAATTTATTACGGTACCTCCAAAAGGATCGTGGCTCATACACTTACGTCTTAGTTTTTGGTCATTTTTGTCTTCGTATTTCTGGTTAATTTTTAGGGCTAGTCTTGTGAGTTTAAGGGTAAGTATGTGTAGGACTTTGGACCCATCTGTCCTGTCACACCTCCGCAGCTCTGGGAACCTTTATTTCAAAAGAAGCCTGAAGCCCAGTGTGGTGGTGCATGGGGAGGCAGAGGCAAGTGAGCCTCTGGGAGTTAGAGGCCAGCCTGGTCTACATAGCTAGTTGCAGGCCAGCCAGGGCTACACAATGAGACCTTGTCTTCAAAAAATAAAAATTTAAAAGGAGTAAGCATGAGAGGCTAAAAAAAGTTGCCTTTCAACATTTGCTTTGAGAAATGATTATTTTAAAATAGAGGCAGCAACTTTTTGTACATGGCCCTTTTTGCTTTCTTATCTTTCCATGAGCAGGCAGGCATTATTGCTGGCAGCCAGGACTAGAGCTCTGCTGTGTGTGTGTGCTTGTTCATCAGGCTTCTCAAATGTCCTGTGACCTCATCAGACTCAAGTCCCTGGCTTGAGGCAGGTCCTCCACCCAGCCTGGTAACCACTCACTGCGGCTGATGACTTAGTGCTTTTCTTCTGCCTTTGACAGAAGCTCAGCATCCATAGGGCTTAGTGGAGGACCTTGTGTCCATCCTTTGGTCCATCTGTCCTCCCTCAGCACCCCCTTTTCAGTTTTCTGTTGTAGGTCATTTGCCTTGGAGTAGAGAGACTGCTTGTATCCCTCTTATATTTGATTTGGTGTGTGTGCGCGCCAGAGTTTGTGTGCAGCAGACCTTAGCTTGGCAGGTCCCCACAACTGGGTTAGCTGTTCCAACTCCTGAGGGACTCTGCTCATGTTTTTGTCCTGCTCCCTCCTCTGGCTTGCAGTGTGGCCAAGTAGGAGCAGTTCTGGCGCCATCAGGTGGCAGGCTCCAGCAGTTGCCGCTGAGCTGTGGAACCCTGTGCAAGGTCCTTCACCTTCTGGAGAGGTGTGGTGGGGCCGTTTGGCAAGAGCTGAATTCTAAGCAGAAACTCTTCCCTCCCCTACCTGCTGAGCTCCACCTGGGAGTTGGTCAGCTGACAGAAACCATTTTAAGAAAGTGCTTTCCTTTTCAGGGTTGTTCAATCTTCGAGGCTCAGACGTGGAGCACAATCCGGTGTTTTTCTCCTATGCGATCATAGGACTAGAGGCCATTATGTGAGTGTTCACTCCCCCTACGCTACCCCCACAGCCCTGAGGGGCCATCGTGTGAGTGTTCAGTCCTCCCACAATTGCCTCGCCCCACAGCTCTGAGGGGCCCAGGCTCCCTTTCTTTTCTTTTGTTTTCTCTTCTTTTCCTTTCTTTCTTTCTTTCTTTCTTTCTTTCTTTCTTTCTTTCTTTCTTTTTTTTTTTTTTTTCAGACAGGGTTTCTCTGTATTGCTTTGGAACCTGACCTGGAACTGGCTCTGTAGATCAGAGCTGGCTTCGAACTCACAGAGATCCCCCTGCCTCTGCCTCCTGAGTGCTGGGATTAACACCCGGCCTAGGTTCCCCTTTCTAGTCCTCACACTACTATTATGTTAGGGTAATTCCTTTCTCTGGGACTTCCCCCTGCATTCTTGCCTTCCTTAATAGGTGTTTATTTTTATTCTGCCTTCCCTCTAAACCTCCAAATTTCTCAAAATCTACAGAAGTTTTTATAGGAACAGGGGGCTGAGAAATAAGTAGCTGAGACCATGAGGACATGAGGTTCTTTAAGAGGTTCCTCTTGCACAATCTAGTGCAGGTCACATTTGATCTCAGGTCTTCTGGAAGGCAGTGCAGAAGGAACTGAGTAAGCTGTGCTGTATAATCTCGACCCCAGGCATTTTAAAGGTCAGCAGTGATACAGGAGCCCCCTGTACTTGCTCTGCTGACTTGCCAGTTTTATCACTTTGGAGCATCGCTTCTGGCTTCCTGTCATTGTTTTTCTATTGTATGGGGTTCTAGTTCTCTTCTCTTGTGATAAAACACTGAGCAGACATTACTTAGGGGAGGAAAGGACTTATTTGACTTAATGCTTCCATGCCACAGCCCATCATTGAGGGGAGTCAGGGCAGGAATTCAAGAAGGAGCTTGAGGTAGGCTCTTGTTTAGCTGGCTTTCTTATACTGCACAGGACCACCTGCCCAGGGAATGTTGCCACCTGCAATGGGCTGGGCTCTCCTGTATCCACTGAAAACCAAGATATTCCCCCAGAGTCTTGCCCACCAGCCAGTCTTTCGGGACAGTCCTTCAGCCCAGATGCACTTCTCAGACAGTGGTAGGCTGTGTCCAGTCAACAGCCAAAACTAAGTGGGACAGGGCTAGGCATGCTGGCACACATCTTTAATTCCAGTTCTCAGGAGGCAGAGGCAGGCAAATCTCTGAGTTTGAGGTCATCCTCGTCTACATATTTCCAGGACAGTCCAGACAACAAAGTGAGACCCTGTCCCAGAAAAAACTCCACCCACCAACCAACTAACCAGCAGCAACAATAACAAACAATAAAACAGTACTTAAATTCTTTTTTTTTTTCTTATTTAGAATAGTGGGTTTCATCATAACTTTTAAAACTTACTTATCATTGTACCTTGCTCATATTTGGGCATCCCGTTGGGCAAACTGTGTTAAGTGCTAATGTGAATGGCAAGAGTCTTGGGTTATAGTTGGGAAGCTGAGCTCATTTCCCGGAAGGATTCAGGCACGTTTATAAATGGGCGCCAGCCCATTAGGAGTGGGAATGAGTACATGTGAAGAGCCTAGCTTAGACTTACAAGAGGGGATGGTTGGAGAAGATCACATTGCATCAAAAATGAAGGATAGATGAGCTGTGTTGGTGAATGGTGGGTGAGGAGGAGTGGACTACATGATACGCACAGGGAGTGGTATTCTCAGAGGCATGGGCGGGCAGGAGAGCAGTTTCTGGGGAACCTGGAGTGGTTCAGTTGGTCCAGCATAAAGTTAGACCCGAGGATGCGCAGGGAGCAGCAGTGAAAGGGCTGTAGGGCAAACTTAGGACAGTGGGGAGTTATTCAGTGACCTGTTCAGCCGCTGCCATAAAACGCGATTGCTGAAAAATAGGACAAATACGGCAGGAATTTGGAGGCTGAGGGGCTGTTGTGGCCCATGTCTGGGTGTGATGGCCAAGGCTGCTGACAGCTGCGCAGAGGTGATGGGGATGTGGCTGGAGGTCTTGGGATGTTGATGGAGGTGGGGGCGGGGGTGCAGAGAAGGGGCACCAAGGACAGTGGGCCGTGCTGGCCTAGAGAATTGGATGCATGGGGAGAGTTTACAGGGACAGGAAGTGCAGTGGGAGGGCAGCAAAGGGGAGAAGCTGTGTGGCTTTGAGTGCGGAGGTGTGAGCCTTGTGTGTGTGCCTACTCATGTGCTTGTCCTTTTCTGTGACCCACCCCTGGCCCTGCAGGCTCTTTATTGATGGGGACCGCATTGATACCCCCGCTGTGAAACAGCACCTGCTCCTTGACTTGGGCCTGGAGGCAGAGTATAAAATCCAGGTGCTTCCTTACAAGTCTATCCTGAGTGAGCTCAAGACCCTGTGCTCTGACCTCTCCCCAAGGGAGAAAGTGTGGGTCAGTGACAAAGCCAGCTATGCTGTGAGCGAGGCCATCCCCAAGGTAAGTAGCGTCACTCTGGCCTGTCTGAACATGGCTGGCCCCTTGGCTGTTCTGATGTCATGTACGGCTGGATAGAGGCATGGGCTCTGAGCTGTGGTCTTTGGACGAGGCCAGAACTAGAGCCTGGAGTGGAGGCTCTGTAAACTCTTCAGGTCATGCCTTCCAGGTGTGGCATGGGAGACGACCTTGGATGACACACATTAGTGCTTAGGCGTATGTAAATATGTCTGTTTTAGCAGCAGTTCCTGTAACTGAGGAAAAGCTGTCAGTAGTGTCTGAGGCGGAGCTGTTGTGAAAACTCTTTCAGATAAAGTACAGACCGAGTAAGGTGAGCAGGTGGCCAGTGGCCCTGGTGAAGGCAGCACAGGAACCTGAATCTTGCTTTCCCTGTTCCCTGAGGCGTGTGTGAGGAGGGCGGCATGCGGAGATTGTGCACACTTTGAGAAGCTCTGTGCAAGTGTCGTGTGCTGAGTGCCTTCGCAGCCACCCAGTCACACAGGGCGAGGCAGCAGCTGAGAGTAATCACAGGGACAAGCAGGGAGAGAGCAGGAGTCCTTTTGCAGATCCTTTGCCGCCCCCTCCCCTCAAGTTCCTTTTCCCAGCAAGAGAGCTGTTTTGGTTAGTTCTGAGAGGACAGTGAGCTGCAGGCTTGGAAAACAGCTCTCCTGGGACAGACGGGCAGCTGCAAAGAGTGAGGGGTACAGGAAGATACCTCATTTGATGTGTTTAACTTATTTTGGGTGAGCTCAAGCTGTGTTAAACATGCTCAGGGCATCCACCTAAGTGGCAGGACTCCAGGCTCCGGGGACAGCTTCTGGGTCCCGACTGGGAGCTCTTCAAGTGGTTTGCCCCAGAGTGTGTTTTCCTGGCTTTGGGTAAACTTCTCATCTTCCTGTGCCTTGCCCAGGATCATCGCTGCTGCATGCCGTACACGCCCATCTGCATTGCCAAAGCTGTGAAGAACTCAGCTGAGTCGGAAGGCATGAGGCGGGCTCACGTGAGTAGAGCAGCTGCTGTGGGAAATGGGATGGGAGGTGACCAGAAGGGTCCTGCTCCCTCTTCGTCTGTGTGGCCCCGGGCCTGGCACGAGTTCAGAATCTCACTGAGCCTAAATCCTTCTGGTGTTCCAGAGTCAGTGGGAGAATGAAATAAACCGGGAGGGCTGTGATTTTGAGGTCAGTATCAGGTAATGCGGTGGGTCCTGTCTCAAAAACCAAAAAAAAAAAAAAAAAAAAAAAAAAAAAAACGATAAAATTGGATGTGTTAAATTCTTATGAAGTATAACACAAAATACAAAGAAAGGAGACCGAAGAGATGGCTAAGAGCATTGACTGCTCATGTGGGGGACTCAGGTTTGATTCCCAGTACCTATCTGCAAGCTGTCTCAAAACTATCAGTATTACCAGTGGATCCAACACCTTCTGTTCAACCCTTTGGACAGTAGGCATGCATGGTGTATAGCCACACATAGCCATACATGCAGGCAAAATAGCCATACATGTTCAACACACACACACACACACACACACACACACACACAGAGAGAGAGAGAGAGAGAGAGAGAGAGAGAGAGAGGCATTGATGATGATGTGTGTAGAGGGTGATGAGGCTGTGGTATAATGAGAAAGAAAAAGGAAGAACAGATTGTGTTAAGGCAGACGAGGCAAGCAAGACCTGAGGATGAGAGAGGCTGACTTAGCCCATCGTTCCTGGCCCATGTAGGGTGGGACTCACTGGTTAGAGGAGCTGCCTATGCTTAGGTCGGGCCACTCCTGACCATGCTCACTCCTCACTGATTTTCCTCAGTTGATGAGTAGCTGGGCTGCCCTTTTCCTTCCGGGTAATGGGAGGGGCTACAGAGGGCTTCCAGGAACAATCCCCATGGCTCTGGGCTGCAGTCCTGGGAGGGTGGCCACAGGACCAGGCTCTGAGTCTGATCACCTGACTCTGTTGTTTGTACAGATTAAGGATGCTGTTGCCCTCTGTGAACTCTTCAACTGGCTGGAGAAAGAGGTTGGTTCTTATCCTTGCTGAGCAAGTGGCTGTAGAACACTTCCAGATAGCAACACTCCTTGATACAACTGGATATAACCGTGGCCTCCCCCGCTCTTGTGGCCTAAGGCTTTATTTGGTTTCAGTCTTCTCTTTGGCCCTGTGTTCTGTAACTTTGTGCATACATACATACATTGATACAGTTCTGTGAGAAGGAAAGAAACTGCATCCCCGTGGCTCCTTTGTGGTAGAGTGATAATTGCGTGGAATTGCATTGGGAGGAAAAGTGACCCTTCCCGAGTTACAGGCCAGCCGGTTATACTGGGAGTAAGCTGTCTTGCTGTGTGCGTTTTGAACCTTAAGCCATGAAACTTTTCATGTTACATTGACCCTTGGCCATTAATTTCTTGCCCAACCATACCTGGATTTGACAGAAGTGTCTTTGTGTAGTTATTAAAGAAAACCACTCTCCAGTTAAACAACTAGAATTGGAAAAAGGGGATTATACTAATTTCTTCTACTCTGACCATTTTCTTCTCCATACTTATAGCTGTTCATCTTTGTAAATCACGTTTGTTTTTCTTGTAGTATACAGATAGGCCTTTGTGTTTTGTTTGTTTTACTCTTAAGGGCATGTAATGTGAGCATTGTCTGTGTGCTTTGCTGTCTTAAGGGGAAAAAAAAATATCCAGGTGGTGACTGCATTGCATCCAATGGCCAGGTTGGTTTGCTTACGTGGCCTTCATGATTTGATTGTTATAACCTATAATATCTTTGCACTCAACCTTTTTATTCTTCTAGGGTAATTGGTTTTAGGATAGGTGCTTAGTAGGAGATGCTTTTGAAGTTTTAAACTTAGATGCATTGTATTTTGGGAGATTTGGGGACATAGTGCCGTGACGAAGCAGTCCAGGGAAAAGTTGTGACTAGAAACCCTTTATTTCAGATAGCTTTGTTGGGAGCCTGCCAGAGTTCCTTCCTTGTTAGAGAGGAGGCACAATGTATCCTGAAGTGTGGGCCTTTGGGCTGTAGGAATTGAGGAAAAGCCAAGCATCCAGGGCATGCCCTCACATAGCTGAAGCACGCGGCTCCCTCAGTGACGATTCATAAGCACGTTTTCTTGTAGGTTCCCAAAGGTGGTGTAACTGAGATCTCAGCTGCTGACAAAGCGGAGGAATTTAGAAGGTGAGTGTTTGTGGAGACCTGTGCACTGAGGGCAGATTTCTTGGCCAGCATAATGATTTCCAGCTTAGTGAGAGCCTTGAGCTACCCTGCTGTCTCTGTTCCAGGCAACAGGCTGACTTCGTGGACCTGAGCTTCCCCACCATCTCCAGTACGGGACCCAACGGCGCCATCATTCACTACGCGTAAGGCATGCAGAGGAGCACAGGCCTGGCAGCTTTCCCAGAGGCTTCCTGCCCACAGCTCTGTCTGTGGAGACCGAAGCAGGGAGATATGATCCCAGAGGCCTTGTTTCCTGAGTCCTCAAGCTTCTGCCTTTTAGGAGTTTCCTCTTACTTGTTTGTCGTTATTATTGGTCCCCTGCTTCAGCCTGAGATGACAGGAGTGAGCTACCTCACCTAACCACACTTCCATTCTGAGGCTCAGACACTGTCTCTGTGACCCTTGAGTCTTGACTGAATTCTGGAGTTTTCTTTCCTGGTAGCAGCAGGCTTCTTGATGTTCTGGTCTGTCCCGTGTGAGCACCACTGCGAGCATCCACAAGTGCACTGCTGGAGGTGGGGTGGCCTCCTATGGGCGGAGAGATGCTGATGCTGGCCTTGAAGCAGCATCCCCGCTCCTTCCTTCCTTCCTTCCTTCCTTCCTTCCTTCCTTCCCTCCCTCCCTCCCTCCCTCCCTCCCTCCCTCCCTCCTTCCTTCCTTCCTTCCTTCCTTCCTTTCTTTCTCCTTTTCCTTTTTACTACATGATCTGTGAGGGTCCTTGGACCCGCAGGGCTGAGTGTCCCTGTACTCTGAGACAAGGGGCATTGTTGACTCGGAATGTGAGCCCGGCTGGTGAGGTAGGATGAGCTTTCCCAGCGCAGTGCTTTCGTTCCCTGTCGGGCATTTGGCACCTGCCCTTTGTTTTCTGTGGGCACTAAAGGGAAAGGCACTCAGTCCGTGTCTGGGCTACAGATGGCTTAGACTTTTCTCTCTTTTAAGTGATTGCTTTTAGAGCTGTCAGTCTTGGGGCAGTTTTCAAAGCTGTGTGACAGACATGACCTCTGTTCTCTCAGGAACTCCCCTGTCCAACGTACAGATACCAAAGGGATTGCACTCTGCCTCGGATGCTGAGTTTCATGGTGGAGCAGTAAGAATTTCAGAGCCATTCGCCGCTCTTTCAGTGTTTCATTGCAGGCTGTTAGAAGTCTGCTTAGAGGCTGGGACCAGGTCTGAGTGTCTTGTTATTTCCCGAGAGGGATTGGTGCCTGCAGAGTATGAACTTAGTATGTTGTCTTCCCATTGGGCATTTTCCAGCATGGTGGTACTGTCCTAGAATATGGGATGGTGAAGGTGGGTCACTTTTCACAAAGAACCTCCGGATCTTTGAAGAGGTCTCCACCCAATAGAAGTTTCCCCAGGCTCTCCTTTCTCTGCAGGGGAAGGTAGGATCTCTTAGCACAGAGAGTCTTGGGCAGGATCTGGAGCCCAAGACTAGTGAGCCTATCATGGACCTTGGTTGTTTGTTTCTCATCCCTGGAACCCAAGCTTAGACTGATAGCTTCTTCTGTGAGGTTTTAATGTTGTCTGTTGTTTGAGGTGGGGCCTCACTGTGTAGCTCAGGCTTGTATTATTTGTGGCCCTCCTGCCTCGCCTTCTGAGGATTGCAGCCACACTGGGCTCTATTGATTATCCTTTTAAAGTCACCTCTCAAGCACTTCGTGTTCTAGACACAAGTACAATCGTTCCTTCCTCTGTTCCTCTTCCTTAGGTGGAAAGCTAGGCCGTAGAGTCTCTTGAGTGCCTCTACAGAGCAAGTTCTGAGACAGCCAGGGCTACACAGGAACCCTTTGGTCTTGAAACACGCACGCACGCATGCACAGAGCACAGAAGAGTAGCTTACAGTATTCATGCTCTCTCAGATTTACCAAGTGATGACATTTTTGGAATAACTTATTTTTTTGGTTAACTTTGTTAGGCCGGTCCCCGAGACGAATAGGACCCTGTCCCTGGATGAGGTGTACCTCATTGACTCGGGTGCTCAGTACAAGTAAGTAAACCAGGGCTGCTGGAGAACTTGAGACCGAATTCAAGGCCAAAGTTTGAGGAGGTGGACAAGCCGCGCTCTCACTGAGCGCACCCAGCTGCTCATCCATCCCTCGCTGGCTGCTGATGGACGGTCTCTGTCTTGTTCTCATTGGAAAAGCCCAGTGTGTTTGCTCCTATGAAGGGTGGTGGACTTGTGTGGTCCTTGGCTATCAACTGGTAAATTATGAAATAAACAACTGAAGGAAAGTGAGCTTTGGGAATGTGTGTGAAGCTCTGCTCCATCCCGGCTCCTGCTTGTAGCGGCCACCTTGGGGCCTCAGGAAGGAAGGGCTAATTTTGAAAGTATGGACATGAAGTGAGAATCTGCCTCTCCACGCCTGAACATGTCTTGCCACTTTTATAGCTCTTCCCATTGCATTTTTTTTTCTCAGAAGAATGCTGAACTTTGCTTGCATCTCATTGCCCAATCCTGAGAGGAGCCAGAGTAGATACTGTGCATTGTGTGTACTGAAAGGTCCCCTTCCCCACTGCAGCTGGAAGCCAGTTATTATATGCGCCCAGCCAGTGCCTTGGGATACATGGGGGTGGATCACTTGGTCATAGCATAAATTCCTGTTTCTTCTGAATTTTATGGGAAGATTCTGGAAATTATATTTTTGGTGTGATTAATGTGAACTACTGTGTGTTAAGAGATGACTCTGGGAGGTTTTATGGTCCCAGTTCAATAATCCCTTTGCTCTCCAGCAGCAGGAAATGGATTTTGGCTTTTTTGCTACAAGTACTTGCAACAAGCCTCTGAGTACTTGGTCTCTGCCCTCCTAGTCATAACCAGTGATGGCTGTCTCATGGAGGACCTCACTGTATGACCAAGAATAGTGTGTGTCAGGGCCCAATCAATTCTTACTGTCAAGCCAATTTTGCATTCACACCTTGTCTAATTTTTTATAGCAATTTTATTGAGATGTAATTCACTCACTCATAGAATAACATGAGTTTTTTATGTATATGTAAAGCTGTACAGCCATTGCCATCATCAGTTCATGTATGAGTGTTTATTCACTCATACATGCAGTTGGTTCTCTTGGGGCCTGTCTAGGAGTCTGGCTGATGGCTCAAATGGTACCTGCTTAACCTTTCAGGCAAAGCCGTTTCCCAAAGTGGGTGTTTCCTGTGCTGTTCCCACCAGCGCTGTATAGTTTCTCCACACACCCATCTGTTTCATGGGTGAGAAAAGGTTACTTTGACTGGAAAAACTTTTTTTTCTACCTTTGAAAGGGATGGAACCACAGATGTGACGCGGACCATGCACTTTGGGACCCCGACAGCCTATGAGAAGGTAATGTATGCGATGCAGAATCCTAGGCCCTCTGCCTTCTTAAAAGGACACTGCTTTTATCAAAAGGGGATTGCATAAATAAATAAAAATTCTAAGTGGGTGGTAAAACGCTCATTTTTGTGGAGTCAGGCTTATCGACTTTATGACTGTGTAATTAATTATTGGCGGGTAAGACATTTGGAGGGAATTTAAAAGCATGCTGTTAAGGTCAAAACAGCTCAAGTTCAACTTCAAATAGCTTTGGCCTTTTCTTTTGGGGGAGGGGGTAGTAAAATGCATGCTTTATCAGCGGTGTCTGGGTTGGAGTCTGAAAGCTACCCTCTTAGATTTTTCAAGGTCAGCATCCCTATTTACAGCTCCCCTCTCAAGGAACTTTGGGGAATGATGGACACTGTTTAGCTTCTGCTCTGAGCAGTTAGAAAGGTAGCATCGAACTGTGAGGTGGAGGGATCCCACCAGGGGCCTGGACCCTGCTTAGATCTCTGCTGTTACTGACTCTATGGCCTTGAACAAGCTGTTTATTGTCTGTACATGTGGGCACAGCAGTGGCCACCTCCTGGCTGCACAGCGGGCTCTGGGAGCCTCGCTAGTCTGCTCAGGTAGTACAGGCTGAGACTCGGAGTGTTACGTGTGTCTGAGGGAAAGGGGTTGGTTACAAAGAGTGCTGGACAGCTTGCTTGGTCACGGTGCCTTGGCTTTGCTGGTTGCAGCCACCCCTGCCTGAAAGACTTTGGGCCTCGTGTGCAGCATCCACTTTCTGTGACCACATGGAGGAGGCTCCGGTGTCTGTTGTTCTTGCCCCTTCTGCAAGCCCTTGGCCTTCCAGGCAGTGCTTTTCTTGAGGGTAGAATGGAGGTGGGAAGACCAGAGGTCTGGCTGCCAGGCCCAGTGCTGCCACCTATGAATGCTGGCTGGCATGTGCCCAAGTGCCTCTGCCATGAAGCTATACAGGCCGTGTTGACTGTTATACATATTCTGTTGCACATGTGGACTGTTGCACATGTTGACTGTTGCACATGTTATGACTGTTGCACATGTTATGACTGTTGCACATGTTGACTGTTGCACATGTTGACTGTTGCACATGTTATGACTGTTGCACATGTTATGACTATTGCACATGTTGACTGTTGCACATGTTGACTATTGTACATGTTGACTGTTGCACATGTTGACTATTGTACATGTTGACTGATGCACATGTTGACTGTTGCACATGTTGACTGATGCACATTTTATGACTGTTGCACATGTTGACTGTTGTACATGTTGACTGTTGCACATGTTGACTGTTGCACATGTTGACTGTTGCACATGTTATGATTGATGCACATGTTATGACTTGCACATGTTGACTGTTGTACATGTTGATTGTTGCACATGTTATGACTGTTGCACATGTTATGACTGATGCACATGTTATGACTGTTGTACATGTTGACTGTTGCACATGTTATGACTGATGCACATGTTATATGACTGTTGCACATGTTGACTGTTGCACATGTTGACTGATGCACATGTTATGACTGTTGCACATGTTGACTGTTGCACATGTTGACTGTTGCACATGTTGACTGTTGCACATGTTGACTGATGCACATGTTATGACTGATGCACATGTTATGACTGATGCACATGTTGACTGTTGCACATGTTATATGACTGTTGCACATGTTATATGACTGTTGCACATGTTGACTGTTGTACATGTTGACTGTTGCACATGTTATGACTGATGCACATGTTATATGACTGTTGCACATGTTATGACTGTTGCACATGTTATGACTGTTGCACATGTTATGACTGTTGCACATGTTGACTATTGCACATGTTATCTGACTGTTGCACATGCTGACTGTTGCACATGTTAAGACTTGTACATGTGGACTGTTGTACATGTTGACTGTTGTACATATTGACTGATGCACATGTTATGACTGTTGCACATGTTGACTATTGCACATGTTATCTGACTGTTGCACATGTTATCTGACTGTTGCACATGTTATCTGACTGTTGCACATGCTGACTGTTGCACATGCTGACTGTTGCACATGTTGACTGTTGCACATGCTGACTGATGCACATGTTATGACTGTTGCACATGCTGACTGTTGCACATGTTGAGTGTTACACATGCTGACTGTTGTACATGTTGACTGTTGTACATGTTGACTGTTGTACATGTTGACTGTTGTACATATTGACTGATGCACATGTTATGACTGTTGCACATGTTGACTATTGCACATGTTATCTGACTGTTGCACATGCTGACTGTTGCACATGTTGACTATTGCACATGTTATCTGACTGTTGCACATGCTGACTGTTGCACATGCTGACTGTTGCACATGTTGACTATTGCACATGTTATCTGACTGTTGCACATGTTGACTGTTGCACATGCTGGCTGTTGCACATGTTGACTGTTGTACATGTGGACTATTGTACATGTTGACTGTTGTACATATTGACTGATGCACATGTTATGACTATTGCACATGTTGACTATTGCACATGTTATCTGACTGTTGCACATGCTGACTGTTGCACATGTTGAGTGTTACACATGCTGACTGTTGTACATGTTGACTGTTGTACATGTTGACTGTTGTACATATTGACTGATGAACATGTTATGACTGTTGCACATGTTGACTATTGCACATGTTATCTGACTGTTGCACATGCTGACTGTTGCACATGCTGACTGTTGCACATGCTGACTATTGCACATGTTGACTATTGCACATGTTATCTGACTGTTGCACATGCTGACTGTTGCACATGCTGACTGTTGCACATGTTGACTATTGCACATGTTATCTGACTGTTGCACATGTTGACTGTTGCACATGCTGGCTGTTGCACATGTTGACTGTTGTACATGTGGACTATTGTACATGTTGACTGTTGTACATATTGACTGATGCACATGTTATGACTATTGCACATGTTGACTATTGCACATGTTATCTGACTGTTGCACATGCTGACTGTTGCACATGCTGACTGTTGCACATGTTGACTGTTGCACATGCTGACTGTTGCACATGTTGACTGTTGCACATGTTGACTGTTGTACATGTTGACTGTTGCACATATTGACTGATGTACATGTTATGACTGTTGCACGTTACCTTGGCTTACATCTTCCTGACAGCGAGTTAGGATGCTGCTTCAGGAGAAGGTCATCTTTCTCCTGATGCTTTAAGTCTAATTTCAGGATTTTTCTGGCACATTGGTCTGTGCCTGGGCTGTTTAGGTGTTTTTCCCCTTTTTGTTTCTGAAATCACCCTCATGTTCTCTGTGGTGTTGATAGATACTATAACAGGAAAGGTGTTCTGAGAGCTAGAAGAATGTGTAGAGTTAAAATGCCTGGATTTTTTTTTTTTTTTTTTTTTTTTTTTTGGCAGGAATGCTTCACATATGTCCTTAAAGGCCACATAGCTGTGAGTGCAGCCATTTTCCCGACGGGAACCAAAGGTAGGTGGTTTGTTCCTGTGCCATGCAGGCTCAGGGCTCAAACATGTCTAAGCTTGGGTGGAAAACAATATATCCTTCATTTTGTTCTGCCCCATCATCGTCGGTCAGCCTTAGTCCAGTTCTGGCCCAGCTAGGATGTGCAGGGTACTCCGTGGAGTCAGTGTCCCCCTCAGCCCCCATTCCCCAAGAGCCAGGCTTAGGGTGCTTCTCCGTGTCACTTCTGACCAATAAGAGAAGTGGTTGACACATGTTGGGGAAAACTGGGCACAGAGGCCTCAGGGCTGTGGAGCCTCCTGTCTGTCTTCAGCATGGGGCCATGCCTCCTTTGATGGCCCTTGTTGCATTTATGTTACTGGGAGCCTGAGTTGAGATGTGTCCTATGCTGAGTACTGGTGGATGGGGCATTGGACTGCATGGTGCAGGGCTTTGACCCTGGCAAGTGGCACATACTTATCTCCCTACGACTTGGTCTTCTGGTCATTCGTGCCTACCAGTCTGCTTGTAGTCTGTAGACTCTCAAGCTTGTAGTTCTGGAACCTTCGGCTCCCGGAAGGAATGTCTGTGTCACCCGTTGCAGCCTTAATCTCTAAGAAGGTGTCCATCCCTCAGCCTGCTGTTGCAAATGATCCCCTGGCTTACCCTAACTGGCTTCTCAGGGTTCTCTGTTGTTAGAAAGTTCTTCCTTATGCTGAGCTTAAATCTGAATTCTTCAGTAACTTTTGGTTTCTATTTCACTTTCTTGAATTCAAACAATACATCTAATCTCTGAAGTGCTTCGCGAATATCAGGTGGCCCTTTGTCTTTCAGGTCACCTCCTCGACTCCTTTGCCCGGTCAGCTTTGTGGGACTCTGGCCTGGATTACCTGCATGGGACAGGACATGGTGTTGGGTCTTTTTTGAATGTTCATGAGGGTCCTTGTGGCATCAGTTATAAGACATTCTCTGATGAGCCCTTGGAAGCTGGCATGATTGTCACTGATGGTAGGTGTTTCTCATGTACAGGGTATATGGTAGTTCTTTGTTGTTTCGTATTTTTCAGTTATTCTAAAGGAAATTTGTAGTGGCTTCCCCCTCCTGTCCTATTGAATTGACAGCAGCTCTTCAATTATCAGAGTGATTTGGGTTCGTTTTAGAAAGGCTGAGGTCTGGATAAGAATTTAAGAAATGCAGTCTTTTATAGATGTGGACATTTTGTGTCACTTCAGGGCCTTCCTGGACTCCCTGCATTTGCTCTCTAATATTGCTCAGTGTCTGTAAAGAGACCCCATTGCTGCTCACTGTCCCGTGGATGCAGTGTGTGTGTGTGTCATGTAGCAGATGCCCGTTACTGTCCCCTGCCTTTTGGTCACATTTCAGAACCTGAGGACATGTCTTCTTGTACCTTAAATGCCTGTAGGATGGGGCTAAGTGGGAGATGATGAATGGAGGGGTGGGCCCCTTCCCGTCCTCTTCTTCTTCGGTGGGGATGAGGCGGGCCCCTCCCCCCTTCTGGCTGAAGGCATCTCTGGTGTGCTGCCGCCTGTGGGCTGTCTCTCACTGAGCTGTCTATTCCAGAGCCGGGGTATTATGAAGATGGGGCTTTCGGGATCCGCATTGAGAATGTTGTTCTGGTGGTCCCCGTGAAGACCAAGGTGAGTGTTCATCCATTTTCTGACAGATTTCCTATTCTTATTGTGGGGAGATGCATATCTTTGTCTTTAGAACCAAAACTGTGCCATAGTGGTGCCAAAGTAGAGCTTCCTTCCCCCCAGAAGCTTCTCACCTTTGTAAAACCAGAAAGGGAGAGAGGCTGTAGCTCAGTTGTAGAGTCTTGGCTAGGCACAAGTCCCCAACACTGTCAAAAAGAAAAACAAACAAACAAACAAAACAACAACAAAAACAAAAACAAAAAAAGGTTAAAAAAATAGTAGTGAATGGATGACCATGAGATTTGGGCTGGGCAGGTAGAGGCACCTGCCATCAAGCCTGGCTACTTGAGTTTGATCCCTGGGGCCCACATGGTACAGAACTGTCTTCTTACTCACACAGAATTGAAACAAAAAGCTTAGTAAATAGGACAACATAGGCTGCATGGCTAATTAATACAGATGGTTTATGCCCCAGTAGAATCTCAAGAGCCCAAGCCATAGATTCCCCGAGTCCAGACACCCTCATGTCCTGTCTCCACCACAGCAGACATTAGCTTCATGGACCTCCCAGCGGGAGTGCTCAGCGCCACGCTTTGCTTCTTTCTGATGACTCGGGGGTGTGGCCAAGGTGGCGTGTGGGAAGTGGGCAGCTGCACTGGTGATTTTTGTGTAAAGGTGGTGTCCTGGTGACTAGGGGTGACACGCACACATTCTCTGCGGGCGGCCGGGCTTGGTGGAGGAACCCCAGCACTCACTGTGCAAAGGGAATGTAACTGCCCTTTCCCCCTTGTCCTGCAGTATACCTTCAATAACAGAGGGAGCCTGACCTTTGAACCTCTAACTTTGGTTCCCATCCAGACCAAAATGATAGATGTGGATTCTCTTACAGATAAAGAGGTAAGGGAGTCTCAGGGTGGAGGTTTGGAGGGAACTTTGGTGAGGGGTGGAGACGATCCCCCATTCTATGGTGGGACCAGGAGCTGGTATGTGCTGGGCTCTTAGCCGAGGCCGTCTTGTACCACAGGCTGTGGGGCCCTAGGGCTCATGGATAGGCAGGCACAGTGGGCTGTTGCTTTTCAAGAGACTCAGCTCTTCCCGCTGAGGTGCACTGGGGCAGTGTAGCAGCTACTGTTTGTTTCTGCAGGGGCTTGTTTCTGCAGGTTAGCTTGGCTCAGTTTCAGGAGATTTCGGGCCATCGTATGGGGAGGGCGTGGAGGAACAATGTCCCAGGAGCCCCTGTCCACCCCACAGAGTGATGCTGTGGGAGCAGGGGAGCATGGGCACGCAGTAGCATGAGAGCTACCTGCATGGAAGTTCTGTGTCCCATAGGGACATGGGCCTCTTGTAGCACCCATTGGTTACACTTCCAGGGCCTTAGCAAGGGACTCTTGGAAGCCCAAGGCTATCGTTTGTGACCAGGTAAGTAGGTTACACAGTTGCCCTGACCACATGTGAGTCAGGAAGTATTTGTCCCAGGGGACAGTCCATTTTATTCAGGGACATAGTGTATGAGGGAAAGTTAAGCAAGGCTGTTTTTTTCCTAATAAGACTCAGAACCCACTCTGTGACACTGGACACAGAGTGGCTATTTATACACCTTGCCAGGCCAGATGACTAAAGGATTTGAGTTACAAGCAAGCTTCCATGGATAGTAGCAAACAGTGTTTGACGTACCAGGCAGAGTACTGTGTCACTATTTTAGCAAAAGGCCCCTTTTCTTATATGGCACCTCACAGGCCAGTACACCATTTTCTGAAGGAATGGTAATAGCTCAAAACCAGGTTTGTCCTTCGTGCTTTTAAAATACCTGCTCATTGCACCGTGCTGTCAGCCTGCTCCCGACTGCCCCTGACTGCCCCTGACTGCCCCTTTAGGGCTTCTTGGAGTAGGTCTACTTTTTCTCACCAGGTGGCAGCAGAGGACCATAGTCTGATGTGGATTGGGTCAGTTGGAGACATCAGGCTATGGGGTATTGCCCAGGCCCTATTGAGTCGGTTTGCATGGTCTTGTCTGTCTCATCTCTTAACCAAAAGGGCTCTGGGAGTGTCCCTTTGTCCCTTTGCTCCAAGGTCACAGCAGGCCACACCTTCACTATGGAGCCATTTCTGCTGCTGGCAAACACAGACTCACTGCCGCTTCCTCAGCTTGCAGTAGGGCTAGGTAGCTTTTAGCAGTGGGCATTAGGGCCCTGGCTCTGCCATGGCCTGTGGGCAACAGTGCCCCGTCTGTTCCTTTGGTTTCTATGTCTGTATTGGTCTCTCAGGCAGGCTTTGGTACTTGGGCAGACCATTCCCAGAAGCTAGCTTCTTTGTTATAACAAAACCTCCCCGAACAGTATGTTTCTCAGTTGCTACAGCCGGAGCAAAGGCAGTCTTAAGTCTCATCAGCCTTGACCCAGTTAGGTGTATGGTCCAGTCCATCCTATGGACGTTGTCCTCACTTCCTGTTCCTCTTCCCACCGCGCCCAATAGGGGAGATTTCACCCTTTGTGCCTGTCTGGAACTTAGCGGTCCCCACGCACCTGTCAGCATCTACTCTTCAACCCTTTTTAAAATAGCTACAAGGGCCCAGAAGTCAAGTTTGTTCCCAGCCCTGCTGTGAAGAGCCATGGTCCTCAACCGCCAAAGGCTTTGTATTCTCTAGACAGCCGCAAAGCTGAGCCATCTGGGCTTAGCTGGTGCTCATTCCTTCAGCTTTATTGGGTCTAGGACAGGAAGCTGAGGGTTGTCAGGTCTCAGCAGGCATCTCTACAGCCATCAGTACCCTGGGGTGCAGGGGTAAGTCCACATGGCCTGGTAAGGAGTTTTTAGCTCACTGACCTAATCCCATCCCTTGTAGGCATCAGTGGATGTGGCTTCCAGGTGCCCTGACAAGTTGCAAGTTGCCCTGCATGCAGGGAAGCCCAGTGCCTTGGCTTGCCACCAGGCTGTTTTTGGTTCCCTCACAGTCATTGCTAGTCCCGGTGGGCACCCACACTCTTCAGGAGTCATTTCCCCAGCGATGCTGCCTGATGCCGCCTGTGTGTTCCCAGGGAAGCAGACACGGGGGTCTAGGAGCAAAAGGACAAGGGTTTGCGCGCCTTTCTTTCCTCTCAGCTGTGACTGGAACACCTACGCCTCTCACCTGTGTGGCTTTTCAGTAACAGTATGGTGTCCCTCTTCTTCTTCTGCAGTGTGACTGGCTCAACAGTTACCACCAGACCTGCAGGGATGTGATCGGGAAGGAACTGCAGATACAGGGCCGCCAGGAAGCCCTTGAGTGGCTCATCAGAGAGACAGAGCCTATCTCCAGGCAGCATTGACCGTGCCCTGCAGTTGCTCTGTAGGATGCTCTGGGGGAGGAAGAAAACGGCAGACCCCGACTTCGTCCTCCTTACTTCTTTCCAACTCCCTTTTTACTTTTAGACACTAAGAAGAACTGAAACTCTTCTTACCCACTTTGATATTTTCTTGCAAACAGTCTTTTATGAATTTTTAATTGTTGAGAATGAGCCAAGAATAAAACTGCTACAGCAGAAGGAGGGCCCCACAAAGTGAAGACTTGACAAGGGGGAGGCGCCCTGAGCCCTCTGGCCAGAGATGCTGAACACCGAGTGCTCCATGATGGTCTCGTTCCAGGTGCTAGTACATCAGTCATGGTCACCTTGATGCTCATGAGACCCTCTTCCCATCAGTGAATAAAAACATCGAAACTGCTTTGCTTTGACTGTCTCTCTCCCCACGGGGTTGTTTCCCAGTAAGTCAGGCAAGCTGATTTCCATGGCTGCCGGCCTCCCCCAAAAACCAAAACCCTTCACAAAAATGGAAATCAACAAAGACCAGTAAGTCAGAAAATGCCCAAACAAAGCAAAAAAGACATTGAAAGTCTGCAGAATGTTCGAGTTCACTTTTGTGTTGGCGTGGGGCCTGCCCTGAGGTTTGGTTACTCTACCCAGTGAGACTCCACTGGAGAAAGCTGATTTTCCCTTTCTCAGCAGATGTCAGTTGCAGATAACTTCCCGGTGAGGGGTGGGAGCCCATGTCCACTTCCCCCTCTCCATTCTGGGACGTCATCTGGCTTGAACCTGTGCAGGCCCTATGCATGTTGACATAGTATCTGTGAGTTCATATGTACAACAGACTGATAATTTACAACAAAATCTTGTAAGTAATATAGAAGAAAGTGAAGTCAGACCACATTTGTTTGTGGTAATACTGATCTTTACAGTTGCCCATGTCCTTCGCCGAGCCCTTCAATCTTTCACATGGCATGTCTTCTCATTTTACCTTCAGCATCTCTTAGTATTTCTTGCCAGGTAGGTCTAGTCTCTCTTTAAACCTGGGACTGCTTAATTTCTCCCTTACTTTTTAAGAGCAGCTTTGCTTGATGGTAGTTTCACGGTTGACTCATTGTTCTTGTAGCATTTAGGGTATGTTGGCTTGCTGCCTTCTGGCTTCAAAAGTTTCTCATGAGGAATGCACAGCTAATCTAACTGAAGGTTCTTTGTAGCTGACAAATCTGTTCTCCACTGATTCCAGGTGTCTTTGGAAAGATTAATTTTGGAAAGTTAATAATAGTGTATCATAGTGAGATTCTGAGTTAATCTTACTGGACTTTATTAACTTCTTTGATTATAATATAATCTTAGATTTATATTAATGTCTTTTTTCAAGTTTGGGGATTTTCTTTTTTTTTGTTTATCCACTCAGCCACCAATGATGTTTGGGGATTTTCTAGGCAGTACTTCTCAAATATTCTCTCTACTCTATTTTCTGGGATGGATCACTGTATATGTTGGTATGTTTGATGGTAGGTGTCTCTTTGTTCCACAGACTTCATAATTCCCATTGTCCTATCTGTTACTTTGCTTTCTGCTTGTTGAATCCCACCAGTCAAGTTCATTTGACTATTGTAATTTTCAGCTCCAGAATTTTGTTTTTCTTTTCTATGTTACTGTTTGCGTTTTGTTCTGGCATGGTCTCGACTACGCATGTCCCTTTAGCTCTCTAGCATCTTAAGGCACTTGGTTTAAAGACATCTTGTAGGTCTGTCACCAGGTGTTTTGTTCAGGTTTTGTTAGTTGGTGTAGTCGGTGTAGTTGGTGTAGTTGTTTTCTTTTGAAAGTATCACACTTTCTGATCTCTTTGTATGTCCCTGTGATCTTTTTGTTGGAAGTTAAGTTTAGATTCTGCCTTGGGGCATCTTTTGTTATTGCTGATTACCATTTGCCTTTGCAGCAGGCAGGCCAAGGACCAGCTTGGGATATAAACTTACTGTTGTGTTTGTTCTGAAGGAACCTGAGCCTTTTCTTGGACATATGAATTTGCTGTCATATTTTACCTCCATTGCTGTCGTTTTCAAATGTTCTGCTTTTGAGACGAGTTAATTTCTATTATTTGAAAATTTCATACGTGCTTATGAGGTATATTTACTGTGTGCTGTTCCCTTTAAGGTCTCCCAGATTCCACCCCCTCCCAGGGTTCTAGTTTTTAGGGGATAGTTCCCATACGGGAAAAAGGAAAAACAAAGTGGAGAAGGAGGAGGAGGGGAGGAGGAGGAAAGCAAAACAAAAAAACCCAAACCCTGTCCCTTTAACTCTCCCAGAAATCACTTTGAAGGAGGAGGGAGGTCTTTCAACTGTTCAGGGAGATGTGACATCGCTGTCCACCCCTGCACTTTTCTTCAGAGGCAGAAATTATCCATGAGAGCAGGGTCTGTTTTACTCACTGAAGCTCCTCCAAGCTCTGCTTGGCTCTGAGAACATCTATGCACAGCTGTCTGCCAATGGAGAGAGACATTTGTGTACAAGACAGGTGGGGGCAGGGTAACAGCTACTGGGCTAAAGGCTGAACTTGGCCAAAATTAACCTCAATTTGCTGTCAAGCCCTCTGCAAGTTCCAAGCCTCCAACTGGCTTTGTAGTTCCCAAGAGGTCATATCAGATGGGCCCTGTAGTGTAGGTGTGAGAAGACAGAATCACTGTCCCACATTGGGTACTGTCTTTGTATTACTAAACCATACCTTTCATTCAATGGCTTTGACAGATGAACAAATATGAGTGCACTTGCCAGCACGGTCTACTTTCTTGTAGAGTTCTAGATTCCAACCTGACACATGGGAGCAAGATGTGCTCCTCGGGTTTGTTTGTAACGGGCAGAAAAGTATAAAAGTGATGCTTGCCAGTGAATAGCAAGGGTACATTTTGATCCCCTGAAGATGAATTCTTGGCTGCCTTTCTCCCATACTCGATCGTATTTCTAATATGCACCATAAAGGGAGACTTAGAGGAAAAATCTCTCCCCAAAGGATAGAACGGATTAGGCATGTTTCTCATCTGTCATCCTTTGGAAGGCAGGAGGCATCCCCTTAGGACTCTGTGTGTTGCCTCCCGATACTCTGAACGCTTCCTTATCCATAGAAATGGGAGCTGTGAATCACACTTGATTTCAAGTTTAAACAGACCATAACTCAAGTGTGACGGCAGCTCCCCATTCCTTCATCAAGCTGTTCAGCCTGTCGCTTTCCAAGGCAGCCTCAGAGCAGTTTGACTTAATTGGCTCCAGCCATGCTGACAGGTGCCCGGTGCCTGGAGCTTCTGCCTGGGCTGTGCCGTCTTAGCATTAAGCCTGTGAGACGCAAACTCGAGGAGACAGTTCCAAGAAGACAGGACCAGATACAGCTCTAAAGTGCCAGAGCTGGAGAGAAGATGTGAGAGAAAACTGCAGAACCAAAGTCTCAGTTTAAATAAGTGATAGATGCTGAGTGGGAAGACAGTGTTGATGCAGCATTGTAGAACTCCAAGGGACCCAGGCTCATTTCTGTTTTGCCTGCTCTGTTCCCTAGTAAAGTTTTAAGTACTAGGTAGGGAAGCTGTGTACATGGTGCAGATTCACGGCTCCAGCATTGAACACCCCCGGGGCTGGCTTCTGGGTGCCTGCCAAACTCTGGTGTGGCTGTCGTCTGCCCCTCCCCCCCCAATCTCTAGTCTAGGAGGTAGGCTGGTATCTAACTGCAAAGCAACCTTCAGTCATTTCTCATCACAACTCTGGTTTTGTTAGTGATTTGGAGGCAGACCCAGGAGTCCTGGCCAGCTCCTGTGGAAGTGTGGCCCCGGGCTTCTCAGTAGCTGGGAGTTTATACGCTGCCGGCCTAGGGGCTCAGCACTGCTACCTTACATTTCTCAGTGCACTTCTAGGGAGAGAGGTAGTGCTTCTGGAGGGTCACAACAGAGGAGGTAAGTATGTGGCAATTTTTAATCTGTATGTGTTTGTGTTCATGTCTATGTACACGTGTGTTACGTGGATGGCGGAGGTCCATGTCTTTAGTCTCAGCGCTGGGGAGGCAGAGGCAGGCAGATCTCTGTGAGTTTGAGGTCAGCCTGGTCTACACAGTGAGTTCTAGTACAGCAAGGGCTATATAGACAGATTCTGTCTCAAAACACCAAAAACAACAAAAACAACCCCTTCCGAAAGCCCAACAGAAACAAACAAACAAACAAAAAAAAATCCACAGGATCTAGAGTTAAAAATACAGATTCCAACTTTTGCCATAGCTTTAAATCTCTCCAAATCACCATTGAAACAGAGAATCTGGGAGAGCAAAGCAAATGCAAGGGTGAGATTTATAACAGACAGACGTGACACATGCTCAACAGGAGCAGGACAGCTGTCCCTCCACTTCTGTGGTGGAGGAAGATGAAGGAGGTGGCCAGGTGCTCATCCAGCCTGGGAAGAGGCCAGGAACTCAGTCTCCAAGAGCTGGTTTGAGAGTTGTGGTCAAAACAAGGAACACTTGTACATGTAGGCTGCTGGGACTGGTGTGGGGTGGAAGAGGGAGCATGTGTCCATTATAAAGTTGGCAGGAGCTACCAATTGCAACTGGTTTGCGGTGGGTTGAGGGGGCCTAAGGGGGAGAGAGAAAATACAGTTTTAAGGAGGAGCTGAAACTATGTGAGCGCATGAATGTGAGTGGTGTGTCAGTGACATTTCCTAATTTTTAAGCTTTTTTTTCCCGTGTGTGTATTTCTGTGTGTGCATGTGTGTGTATGTGTGCATGTGTGTGTATGTATGAATGTGTGTATGTGTGCATGTGTGTATGTGTACATGTATGTGCATGTGTGCGTGTGTGCATGTGTGTGTATGTATGAATGTGCGTGTGTGTGTGCGTGCGTGCGTGCGTGTGTGTGTGTGTGTGTGTGTGTGTGTGTGTGTATGTGTAGGCATGAGGTTGATGTCTTCGGCTCTTCTACCTTACTGAGGCAGGGCATCCTAGTTGAACCCAGAGTTAGTGATCATGACTAGCCAGCTTGCTCTGAGGATCTCCTGTCTTGGACTTCCAAGGGCTGCCACACCCACTTGGTATTTATGTGATTTCTGACAATTTGAACTCTGGGCTTCAAGCTTGGACTATAAACTCTTTAGCCACTGGTCCATGCATCTCCCCAGCTCCTAGAGCTTAAGCATTTGCATCACTTCAAGAGAAGCTGCAGACGATCCTAGGCCACTTGGTGAAGGGTCTCTCAATTTAGAATGCTCTTGTGTT